ACATGAAATAATTGCTCAGAGAAGTGCCAACAGCCCCATTCATCGCTATAGCATGTAAACACTGTTCTCCTTGATGTCAGTTTAAAATGTTGACAATTATTTCACTGCTGAATTCTAGTAGAAGCATCCAGGTAACATGCTTATTCGTCAGTGTTGGATGTAGCAATGGGAGGGATGGAGCAAGGTAGCGAATTGCTTTCAGATTTCTGGGGTGTGGAATGAGAACTTTAAACCTCCACTCCCCACAGACTTAAAGTCTCTTCTGGGAAGAGAAGTGGGAGAAAGTCAGTGCAAGCCTTCCCTAGTACTAAACTCTTCAGCTGCCTCCTTGTTACCAAAAGCTACAACCAGCTCCTATGCATTTCTGGGTGCTAGAAGCTCCATCTGCCCCCCTCTCAGCAGTTAGAACCTCCAGCTTTTTCCCAACAAAGTCTATAATGCAGTTCCTCATCAATAAAAAGATCTGCCACATAGTGAAAATGTGAGTCAGCATAAAATAAGAGTATTTTAATATCCAATTACATCAGTAACACAAGGGATACTGTACTGGCTAGCCTGGTGGGCAGTGAGGAAGACAGAGCCTGCTGAAGGGACTGGCCAATGCTGCAAAATGGTGGTTTTTGCTCTACAGTTTAGTTCTGGAGAATCCCATGGTTCTTATAGTCCTGGAGAGCAGACTGCAGGGAACATGGCTCCTTTGGATTCAAAGAAGGGAGGACTAGATGGAACCTAGTAGGGCTTACAGCTGATTTAGCAAATCTGCCTGTCACAGGGTAACACTTGCCCTGTAAGAGTGAAGAGACCAGTGCACCTGAGACTGGTCAGCTGACCCCAACTGGTCTTGAAAGAAGGCATGTGGACCCTGCAGATGTAAGACTAGCAAGTGAGAGCTGCCAGAGACTAGGAGATTGTAGGAGGTCCCTGGGAGAAGGCTGAAGGCAGCAGAGAGGTTTGCCAGCTGACCTCCGCAAGCCAGAGAGCTAGGACTAGAGAGAGTTGAAGTTAGGGGAGCAGTGGAGAAACCTTCCTGCTGAAGCCTTCATGCTGCAGAGCTGTCACGGGGGGACAGTGGAAGTTCCCACCTGAGACAAAAGAGTTAAATGTACAGGGGGAGTGACTGATGTTCCCATTGTGAGAAACAGCTCCCAGCAGAGAGGTTGGAGGAAGGGGGGTTTCCTGCTGGGAAGAATAGGGTTGCACTCCAGCTGGAAGGGCTGGGATGACTGTCCTGGCAGAAGGACAGGAGAGGACTGACAAAGAGCCAGGTGCGGCTAAAAACACTGCAGTGTGGTATGTGGGGTGTTGAGGGACTAGATTTTGAAGACTACATACACTGCAGATGGACTATGTTTTGGACTTTTATTATAGACTATCATTTTTGTAATAAACTGGCCCCAAGAAAGGGTATTATTGAGGCAAGAAAGCTTGGATGGAGTTACTGGGGACTCTGAAGGAGAAAAACTGAGGCAGGCACCACCTGCATGTTCTGCTGCAGGAGAGCACTCCAGCACTGCAGGTAAGGTTGCCCTATGACACTGCCAAACCTGCAACCCCCTCCCATATTGCAAAAGTGGGGCAGGTGGGAGGGATTGCTTGCAGGTGCAGCAATAAAAAGGTTTTGCAGGGGACCCTAGGCTGGCTGTAACGGGCCCTGCTTTTCCATCTCCGACATCTATGAGATTCTGTTCATTCCTATCTATCAGCACCAGTCCAGCCACCCTCCACATATCTCAAGCCTTAGTAGCTCAAGCAAGCACTGTAGCCAAAGGAGAATCCATCTGCCTTCCTTTTACCCACTTTTTCAAAGGCGCCATCCCATTAGATGACTGAAGCTGGATGGTTAAGTCCTTGCTCCTGCCACCCACAGTCTCTACATTCCCTTTCACTTAACTAGCAAAGGGTTTTCTGGTAGATACAGGTGCAGTCTGAGCCACTGCCACAGTAACAGCTATCTGTGGGATGGATGAGCAAATTGCTGGGGGACAGAGTGAGGTCTAGCCTGTACAACTTCCCCCATGGAGCCTTTGTAATCAATTACCAGCCTCTGGATGGATTTCTCTGCTGCTCAGTTCTGTGATAAATTCCTGCTCCTGGTTGGGTTCTCTCTGCTGGAAACCTCAGCTCTTTGATTAGATACAGCAGGAATTCCTCTTTTGTTCTCTAACCTGACTGAAAGAAATGAGCAATCTACAGTGGGTATATGGGGGCAACAGAGCACTCTGGGGGACAGACTGACAGGAGTGTGAGGGGCAGGGATGCTGTATGTGACTAGATTAAGTCAACTGGGAATTGGACAGTCACAACAGATGAATCAAAAACCAAGGGATTAATGAGATCTATGTAATGAGATCTATACTAAACTCCTGGATGACAATCAGGAGGGAAGAACTGAGGCATGTCTTGTCTGAGCTGGAGAAAACATGGGAGCTCAGTCAGGTAGGCTCTGTTTGAACAATGAATGATGGAATGTTAGCTGATCCTTAGAACACCACATAGAAACTTGCCCTTTTAGGCCAACAAGCTTTCATTCCACTGCAATGAGAATTTGATCCTGCAAGGGAGGACTTTGCATCAGGGGGACAATGTGCAACTCATGTTAGAAATCATATTCTGAGAAATTAAAAGGTTTTGGAGTTTTCAGGAATAAATTACAAAGTAACTCTGAAATTTAGACCTCAGCATCTGGCATCCGATCCCTGTCCAAAAGGAGATGGAAAAGGCTCCAGGGCCCTGTTTTGTGAACAACATTGCTCTCATCTTGTAACAAAGGGAGGAAAGAGGATAGAGGAAAGAACACAGGAGGGAGGGGAAGGACAAACTTTTGAATTCCAATGTCTCAGATGCTCACCTCATCTTGGTTATCCATGATTTTGTCACCTTGAGGCTGGTTCACTGCAATGAACTGTACCTGTGTCTAACTGCTCACACTTTTTGCCTAGTGCACCCACCAACAGCTCGGGGGCTACCAAGAGCTCATTACACTTCTGCTCTGCACTGGCTGCCAATTCACTTCCAGGTAAAACTAAAGATGCTGGTTACTAGCTACAAAAGACCTAAATGGTTTAGGTCTTTTCTACCTTAGAAATAGCTTCTCCCTATTTGTATACCTGTCTTATAGGAGCTGGAAATCAATAAATGGCTCTTGTTGCTGGAGTTTGCTCCTTTCTGGAATTATGTTTAACCCCAAACCGGACTGAATTTAAAAACAATTGTAATACAACTTTTCCAGACTTTCCTAGGATAACTGAACTATGGATATTTGAGCACCTACCTGATTAGAGCATCCCTTCTGCACTTGAGCCAGCTGGCTGCAGTGGGTTTATCTGACTTATTGAGTCCAGATATTTAGAAATGTGAATAGTTCCAGTTTAGTAAAGTGTCCAGATCCCACAGTAGTGAGGGTGGTCCAGATGCTAGCTGATCAAACTGAAATACACATGATAGCTAATAAGATTCCCAGTTTCACCACTGACTCACTCACTTCCCACTTCTGTGCTCATCTCCTCCTCCTCTGTTAAATAGGGATAATATCCATGATGTGTTATCAGGATTAAGTCAGTCACTAACTTCTCCACCATTGAGACTAACTGTGCCTGGGAAAGACCAACTTTTCCAGAAAGTGAATGGTCATCAGACCAAGTTCCAGAAATATGATTCCTTATTTAACCCCAACCCCATCATAATCCATCATGTTTCTTTGTGATGGACTATGGGGAATGGGATGGACACCCTTGATGTACTCAGAGCCCCCACCCCCACCTCCCTCCACACAGACACAGTAATTTCTCAGGTATCAGTTAACCATTAGCTCCTTGACTATGGGTGTGCGAGCAGACAGCTGCCGTGTAGATGGATGGGATCATAGCTTCAAAGACAAAGTATTTTCAAACCTTGTTACACATTCAGCTCTGTGGAGGAGACAAGCTGCAGGAAGTTGCAATGGCACCAGGATGAATAATTGAAGCAAGGCACATTCAGTATGTGCATAAACAGAAGGACCAGAATGCTGCCTCCGAACCGGCTGGCAGTTCAGAAACTCACAAATTGTCTTATGGATATGTTATCTGGAGAGACTGACCCATTTTCCTAGGAGCTGGTGGTGGAGGGGAGAGGAAGTGACAGTAAGATTGTCAAACACATGAGGGAGATTTGTTCACAATATCAGGCACAAAATTACACTTTTTAGAAGTCAATGGAGTCACATAGACTAATCCCAGGAGGAGCCATTGGGCTCAACTCCCCCAGGAAACCAACTACAGAGAGACCATACAGGCTTAACCCTCCTTCCCTCCAAGAATCTGACCTCAGGGAAGTACTTTGAGGTGTAACTCCCTGGAGAGCAGGGCCAGGACTCACAGATCCTTGCATCTTCCACATAAGCTTAACCATTTTATACTGAAAGGCTGGGATTTATCAGGTATGTCATTTTAATCTATTTGCAAGTCTAACCTCTTACTCAGGACAAGGAGTGATCCCAGCCCCACAAAGAAAGGAGGCAGAGAGCCCCAAGGGGCTGAGTGTCATGGCAAGTCGCACCCTACAGGAGTATTACAGCACAGCACCTGGGACAAGGGGCAGGGAAGCACTGCACCTGAGGAGAGGGTTGCCTGGAGTGGCTCTTTCTCAGAGTGTTTGTGGAGCCCGCTCCTCCTGAAGGAGCGAGGCTGGGGGCAGACCATGACCAAGATGACATTTTGGAGATCTAGGTAATAATAATCAGCTTCCCCCCCCCCCCCCCGACTGATGCAGGGGTTAAACCCCCCGGGTCTCCCCCTCCCCCATAATACTCCATGTTGCTCTCCATCCTACCCTCCCCCCCAAGATAATGCCACATAACAACCCTACAGCCCCCTTCCGCGACGCCAACCCCCTGTGACCCGTTGTCTTCCCGAAGGAAGCTTCTCCGGGCTTACCCCAGCCGCTCCCCTTCCCCCGCCGCCCCACCCCCCCGGGCCTGCAGGGGGCAGCTACCCTGGGTGAGGCAGATGGCGAGACCGTACCTGCTGCTGCTGCGAGGCACTGGCTCCGCCGGAGCCACGGGCTGGATCTGGCCGTGTAAGTAAGTGCCTGTGCCCGGAGCCCCGGCTGATGTGTGCGCACTGACAGCGCCGGAGCCGTCGCCGCTGCTGGAGGGGGACTGGGCAGGGGGAGCTCAGACACCCCGGGCTCCAGCACCGAATCAGTGACAGGAGGAGGGGCGGCCGGAAGGGGGCCGGGGGAAGGGAGTGGGGGGGACCTGGCACAGCACCGCTCATGGCAGGGCACCAGCTTCACAGCCAAAGGGTTCCGAAGGGCAGGGAGAAGAGGAATGTGACAAGAGAAGCGAGGGGAGTGGAGCGGTCTAGGCCAATGCAGCCAAGCTCAGGAAGCCTCTCTGGGCTCCCAGTCACCTTCCCTCGGAAAGAGCCGAGCTGACTCTGCACCATCACTCAGAGCTTTATGACAACAGCATGTGCAGCGATCCCCATCAAGATCCGTGGATACCAGGGAATCAAATCCCCAAATGTGCTGCACAGCCCTGGGCTGAGCAGCTGTTGAGCGTATTTTACCTACCAGATACCCAGTCTTTCCCCCCTTTATGTTGGAAGCTCATAGGGCGCTTGGTGTGTCAAAAAGAACAGGAGGACTTGTGGCACCTTAGAGACTAACAAATTTATTTGAGCATAAGCTTTTGTGAGCTATAGCTCGCTTCATTGCTGTAGCTCAGGAAAGCTTATGCTCAAATAAATTTGTTAGTCTCTAAGGTGCCACAAGTCCTCCTGTTCTTTTTGCGAATACAGACTAACAGGGCTGCTACTCTGAAACCTGTCATTATGCAATGGCGTATCAAAGAATTTTGACAGCAGTTAGGATAAAACTACAGGGGACTCCAGATTTGCATTGGGGGGGGGGGCACCAATTGGTCAGGAAAGAATTCTTGTCCCTGGTATTAAATGGCATACAGGTTCCAAACGACACATTTCAGATTTTTGGTTGTTTTTTGGGGGGAGGAGGGTGGGCTGTAACTGATTCCAGGGGCTACTTAGGTACCTGAAAACTATAGGGTTTTTGTTTGTTTGTTTTTTAGCAAATAACTTAGAAATTAGCTGATAGGAGCACTGTATCTAATTCCTATATAAAAAAGAGAATTAAATAAATATTAGAGCCACTCAGCTCTAATACTAACATGTTCTCACGTCTTGTGTCAAGTCACTTAAGGGACACTGGTTAGGTTTAAAATTTTAATGTATATTCTTACGTTGTTAATAACTCCTGAATATAACAATTGAAACAATTGTAGAAAAATCTAGATTACTTTTAGGCGGTTCACCAAGCTTGGAATAGATCAGTTAACTTTGGAAACATCCTACTAGGGCAAGGCCCCATGAGTTTATACTGCACCTGCCTGGGGCTCTAGGGATATTACCCCACTACAAATAATAACTAAAAACTGACTTTAAACAGGAGTGAAATTGACACGTTCAAGTCACTTTCACTGTATTGACATTCCCAAATGTTAAAAAATCATGAATCAGGCTCACCAAAAATCATGAGAATGGCTTTAAAATCATGAGATTATGTAAAAATAGATTTGGGGTTCTTTTTATTTGCCTTCTGCTTTTTGAGCTTTAGGGTTCACTGGGGGTCATATTTTGAAGCTTTCTCCATAGTCACAAGGGCTAGAAACTTCGTTTTTCTTTAAGAATGAAGGCTGAAATCATCACCTATCCACTTGACTCCAGGAGCTGGCGCTTTAAGGAAAACAATAATTATCATGAGACTCATGACAAAATCATGAGAGTTGGCAACACTGCTTTTACTTCTGTTTAAAGGCTAGTTACTTTCCAGAAGGCTCCTAAACACAACACTACAGCGACTGAGTTGCAATTCTTACAGGAGAATATTTAAAACCAAACACCAAGAAAATTCCACATTTTAAAGTTGAGAGAAAAAACAACAGATTTCTGAGGTATATCATGGCCACTGCAGGCAAGAAAGGAAAATAAATAGACACAGAAGCTCTGGGCAGCTCTTCCTCTTGACAGGAAGTTGGAGGGTCAAATCTTCTAGTCCTTAATCCAGTAAAACTTCTACTGCCATCAGCACCTCCACTCATAGATGTTAACATGTGCTTAATAACTATACACTTCATACTTAAATATCTGAGCCACCTTACCCAGGGCTACACATTTTATACACAGTGACTAAGGGACTACATTTTCTGGCATATTCTGAACAGTGCTGAACACACAGATGGTGCCCAGTGAATTATACAAATCATGATGATAATCCTCAACTTTATGGACTCTGTGGATGCAATTTCTGTTCTTTGTTCCGGAATTGGCATGGATACAGCTGAAACCCTAAGAATTTGAAGCATAAACAGATCTGATACTTATATGACACTTTCTGATTCCTTCCTTTTCTTGAACTCAGAACAAAAAAAAATGACAAAACAAAATGGTTTTCAGTTAAAATGTAAAATTGCACAGCAGCCATTGCTCTACAAGTCAGCATGGGGCAGAATCTGCCATCCCTTGGGAGTTAAGTGATCTCTCATGTGACTCTCATTCTCCATCCTTCCTAACCTCTGTGCTGCTTTCCATGCTGTCAACCGTGACATCCATCCCAACCTCCTGGAACTGTTTGCTGGAGTCTTAGAGAACTGGCCGCCTTGGTTTTGCTCCCATCTATCAGAGTCCTCCCTTTTTGCAGCATGCAGCTGAGAGATAGGCTGGTCTGCTGGATAGGGAGCTAGCTGGGTTCTACTCCCACCATGGACTTCCTGTATGATTTCAGGCCAGTGTCTTACGGACAGAGTTTAAAAATCTTTTAGGCACCCAAAGATGCATCTAGGGGGGTTTACAAAGCATCTAACCTTCTAGGCACTTTTGAAAATCCCACTAGGTTCCTAAATACCTTTGTGTGTACATCAGTGCCCCATCTGTACAATGGGGATAACAGCACTGCTCTACTTCACCGAGGAGCTGGGAGGAGAAATAGGTTAGACATTGTGAGGCGCAGCCTCAGATACTATGGTGAAGGGGCCACATAAGTACCACAGGTAGAGTGGGAACTTCTCTATACCACTGCTAGCCCTTCCCTTGGTTTTGGCCCCTTCTTTTCACCTATGCTCCCAAATCTCCCCCTTTTCTGAATGTAACCTTGGCTCAGAAGGCTTGGACTCTTCCTGGCCATCTACAGGGGGTCCCCCTGTATACATCTCTCCCTTATCTGTTATTTTGGATATCTGTCACTCATCAATAGGGGAATGTGTTCTGATTTATGTTCGTCCTGATCCGCATATCCATCATTTGCACGGATCGGGACTGACGTGAATTGGAACATGTTCCCTTATTGTACAGTACAGTACCGTACTTAAGCCTTGAATGTGGCCAGCGGACGCATCACCTACAGAGGACATTCTCCATGCTGATTAAGGACATGGCAGGTGAAGGAAAGCCCAGTGTAAAGGATTTTTGGAACATCTTGAAAGGCGTGGAAAACATTGACGCATCATGGGAAAAGGTCACTTTGCAATGTTTGAACGGCGTTTGGTGCCATGCATGGCCAGATGCTGTCCACAGCTTTGTGGAATTTGATGCTGTTCCTGCTCTCGAGCAAAAAATTGTCAAGTTAGCAAAGGATATCAGCTTTGAGGAGGTGGAGAAGGAGGATGTACAGGAATTGTTGGAGTCTCACACTGAGCAACTGACAAATGAGGAACTGATTGAGCTGGATCAACAACAGATATCTGAAGAAAGCAAGGACATAGGGCCGGAAGCCAGGAGTCTGATGACAAAGAATCTCTCCTGTTTCTCTGAGGTGTTAGATGAGATGACTGAAATCATACAGAACTGTGATCCTTTTCATGAATGGTCTGCCAAAGTCTCCAGGTCTCTCAGTGATTCAGTGGCTTGCTACCAGGAGATCTATCATTCAAAGATTCATGCAGGAGAGCAGACATTGGTAAACTCCTTTTTTAAAGACTTCTTAAAGCAACCAAAAAGCCAGCCACGGAAAAGCCAGCCCAAGAAAACCCAGCCGCCACACCTACCTAAGTTTAGAGTAATTGACACTGTTTTATTCTGTATTTACTGTATTATAATGTTCTATGTGTTTGAACAGGGTTAGTAGGGTTCTACATTATTTTATTCAATGTTTTATGTGTAAAATGTGTATTGTATAACCTGTCATTGTACACTGTTTAGGTGAAAAGAGCATTGTCATTGGTGAGTGTGGTGAAGTTGTGAACTCATCCCCCCACCCTTATTCCATTATTTCTTATGGGGAAAAATTCCCCGGTATACATCGTTTTGGTATCCATCGCCCTTTTCAAGAACGCAACCCCAATGTATACAGGGGACCTCCTGTAGTAACACTGAGATAAAAGCTCTTAAGATGGGCTTTCAGAGAGAAAACATACACATGGAATTATTAAAGAAACCTACCCTAGCAGGCACTGTAGACCCCAGTACACCCATCCCAAGAGATGCCAGAGCACTTCCCATTCCCCCTTGTGCTCATCCCAGAAGATGAACTCCCACTTATCTAGTTTTGCAGACACCAGCCCCCAACCCCACACATAGTCACCCATTCTGGCAAGTGGCTGGGCTCCCATACACCCATTTTGTCAGTGTTTAGGGACTCATAGAATCATAGAATATCAGGGTTGGAAGGGACCTCAGGAGGTCATCTAGTCCAACCCCCTGCTCAAAGGAGGATCAATCCCCAATTAAATCATCCCAGCCAGGGCTTTGTCAAGCCTGACCTTAAAAACTTCTAAGGAAGGAGATTCTACCACCTCCCTAGGTAACGCATTCCAGTGTTTCACCACCCTCCTAGTGAAAAAGTTTTTCCTAATATCCAACCTAAACCTCCCCCACTGCAACTTGAGACCATTACTCCTTGTCCTGTCCTCTTCTACCACTGAGAATAGTCTAGAACCATCCTCTCTGGAACCACCTCTCAGGTAGTTGAAAGCAGCTATCAAATCCCCCCTCATTCTTCTCTTCTGCAGACTAAACAATCCCAGTTCCCTCAGCCTCTCCTCATAAGTCATGTGTTCCAGACCCTTAATCATTTTTGTTGCCCTTTGCTGGACTCTCTCCAATTTATCCACATCCTTCTTGTAGTGTGGGGCCCAAAACTGGACACAGTACTCCAGATGAGGCCTCACCAATGTCAAATAGAGGGGGATGATCATGTCCCTCG